TATATATATATTGTGTAACGGTTTTTGACTTCTGAAGTACATAAATAACCCTAAAAGTAGATGATCTTGAATTTTTGTCTCATTGCCTCATGGACAGAACTTCAAATTTAACAAATGTTGACCTTCGCTTGTCCCATGAATAACACCTTTGACTTTTGACCTTAAAATTTTGCCCATGGGACAATCAGGATCACAAGTTAAAGACCATTCTACAAAGTGTCATATTTCTATAATATGTTTTAAAATAATTACATTTTTGGGGCCTTTATTATTTGAGCCTAAAGCAAAAGCTTATTGGCCTCCCTTTTTTTTTTTTGGGGGGGGGGGGGGGGGGGCGGAGTGGGGCTGGAATAATGGCCTTACTATGGAGCCGGACATGTATAAGGGATATTAATCCTGAAATTATATGCGAATTTATTTTATCTCGTGTTTGATTAAATTTCTGAGGTCGGAATTAGCAACCCGGATTGATTTAAACCACAATTGTGGTACTCTATTATTCTATCCCATATTGAGGGTGGGATAATAATTTTGGGACTATTTAATCCCCGGATAATATACTACAATGAAAAAAATGCTCTTTTTCGAGGCTCTTCCTCCAAAATCTTTACAAAAATCTAAGGTAAAAATTAGAAATTAAAATTTATCGAAACTTATCTAGTATATACCAAATACATACGTTATATTATACTCTGTGTATTTCATTTTTAGTCCAATAAACCAAGCATCTCCCAATCAAAATATATTCACTAAATAAATCCATCACTATTTAGTTTTTGTATTATAATCCCGTCATTGGATTCTCCGAATAACTTGTTCCACGACCAAATGACTCATGAGTTCCTCTCTTAGATTACTTGCCTCTATTAAATCGTTAAAGTTTAAGCCACGTCACGACTCATATAAATACTCATAATTATGTGTTCTGTGAAAAAGTGAATATTAGAGTAGTATACAAAAAGAATAAAATTAGAAATGTAGAAGAGTTAACGTAGAGTGGTCACATTTATGATTTATACCAAATGTGTCACGACCCAAAATCTGCATGTCGTGATGGCGCATATCTCAATACTAGGAAAGTTGACAACCTCAATAAAACATAATATCTTTTAAATTTGAAAACATAATGTTTGAATGCAATAGAAAACCTCACAAATACCGATATAAAAAACTCCCAAAACTCGGTGTCACTGAGTATATGAGCATCTAAATGATAATAAAGTCTGACTGATAAAAACACTATCTGAAAATATAGAACAGTACAATAACCGAACGGAAGAGAGTCAAGGTCAGCGGACGCTAGACAACTACCTTGATAGTCTCCAACTGATAATACTCTGAGATCTAACAGTCGCTGTCTCCGGAAACACCTGGATCTGCACACGAGGTGCAGAGTGTAGTATGAGTACAACCAACTCAATAAGTAACAAGACTAACCTTTGGGCTGAAAGTAATGACGAGCTCAGCAGGTACAATCCAGTATAAAAATAACAGTTCAGAAATGTAGGCATGCTTTCAAGTTCAATAGTTGAACTCAGTACTGTATATGGCCAATCCATCATAGGGAAGATCATTCCCATATATGTATACATCAATTGCCAGTCAGTGACTCAGTACCGTATAAGGCCAATCTAGCCCAGGGGTAATTTATCCTCAAATATAAATAATTCGGACAAAATTCATGTCCAGGGAATTCATCACAATTATAAATAAATAAGGCAAGTCCATGCCATGGGAAGTCCATCCCGAATATAAATCATCTACGCTCACTGTGGGGGTGCAGACTCTGGAGGGGCTTCTTCAGCCCAAGCGTGATATAAAGCTGATATGGCCTGCTGCAGCGGGCAATCGCGATCCATATAATAATAATATATTTAAAGCCGATATGGCCTGCTGCAGGCGGGCAGCCCCGATCCCATAAATATCCTCACAATTTATGAACATGATTGAGTATGAAAGGTACATTTTAAAATAATTAAATTCAATAGCAACACGACCCTATGAGTCCCAAAATATAGACACGTAGCCTAAACGTAATCTTTAATACGAGTCTCAGCTCAATTTCTCTAACACGTGGAGAATATTCGGATAATAACATGATTCTTTAATTTTTACAACTCCATAGAATTTATTTAAGTCACAATTTCTATGGTGTACGACCACACGCTCGTCACCTAGCATGTGCGTCATCTCCAACAATTGATATAACAAAAAATTCAGGGATTCATACCCTTAGAACCAAGTTTAGAAATGTTACTTACCTCAAAACTGCGTAATTCTTTATTCCTCTATGTCTTTGCCTCGCGAATTGGCCTCCGAAAGCCTCGTATCTAGTCACAATTAATTCGATTCAGTCAATATAAATTATTAGAATTAATTCCATATGAAAATACTAATTTTTCAACAAAATCCGAAATTGCACTCAAAAATCACATGTGGGGCCCACGTCTCGGAACTCAACAAAAGTTATAAAATATGAATGCCCATTCAACCACGAGTCCAACCATACCAAATTTACCAAATTCCGACATCAACTCGACCTCCAAATCTTAAATTCTTATTTTGAAATCCCTAGGCCCAAATCCTCTAATTTCACCTCAAAAACACGTAATCTAGTCGAAATACTCAATGATAATTCAATATTATTAACTAACAATGATCATAAGTGACTTACCTCAAGTTTTCCCGTGAATTTCCTCTGAAAAATCGCCTCAACCCGTGTTTGGAATGTCCAAAAATGAGAAAATCTTGTACCCCTCTGTTTTTGTACACTGCCCAGAGGTTCCGCACCTGCGAAATTTTTAACCTCTTCTACGCCATTCTCGCTTCTGCGGACTCACTTCTGCGAAGAAGCGTCCGTTTCTGCGGTTTAGTGCCCTCCTAGCCCAGGCCGCATCTGCGACCATGTTGTCGCTTCTACGGACCACACTCTTCTGCGATTCCAGGCTCGCTTTTTCGAGCTCGCACCTGCGAGCCAAATTCCGCAGGTGCGATTGTATCAGAAGGCAGAAGGTTTCCAGTTTTGTTCTAAATTCGAATTTGATCCGTTAACCATCTGAAACTCACTCGAGGCCTTCGGGACCTTAACCAAATATACCAACAAGTCTTAAAACATCATACGAACTTAGTTGAAACCTCAAATCACATCAAACAACGCTAAGACCACGAATCATAACCCAATTCAAGCTTAATGAAACTAAGAATTTTTAACTTCTATGTTCGATGCCGAAACCTATCAAATCGAGTCCGATTGACCTCAAATTTTGCACACAAGTCATAAATGACACAACGGACCTATTCCAATTTTCAGAATCGAATTCCGACCCTGATATCAAAAAGTCAACTCCCCGGTCAAACTTCCAAACTTAAATTTCTAATTTCGTCATTTCAAGCCTAATTTAGCTACGGGCTTTCAACTAATTTTTCGGACACGCTTCTAAGTCCAAAATCACCGTACGGAGCTATTGAAATCATCAAAATTTTATTCCGGGGTCATTTACCCATAAATCAACATACGGTCAACTATTTCGACTTAAGCTTTAAACCTTGGAACTAAGTGTTCCAATTCATTTCAAAACCTCACCGGACCCGAACCAATTACCCCGGTAAGTCATATAACAACTGTAAAGCACAAGTTGAGCAGTAAATGGGGGAACAGGATTGTAATACTCAAAACGACCGGCCGGATCATTATAAAATGATTAGCTAAAAGGTATGCCATCAAAAGACTTCTTTCTTACCTTCCATTCTCAGCCGAGCTCAAGATCCGGCTTCAGAAGTTTGAGCTGTTTGACTGTTTGGTATCTATCAACTACTGATCGATTGTTCAACTCCTCAGTTTGATTATTTGGTGTCAAACTCTTTTCTCTTATTTAAGAAACTTATCCGTCTATTTTGACGACAAAAATTGCGCAACAACAACCACACTTGATTGACTCAAAAGCACACAGAGAGATGACCAAGTTAGAATTGTCACTACTAGAAAATGAGAGAATTTCAACCGAAATTTTTCGACTGAAAATTGTAGTCGGAAATTTCCAATGGTTTCTGTTGGAAAATCAGAAACATAATGTTAAATATTTTCTTATAGTATTTCGACCATATTCCGACAATGTTAGTCTCAAAGTTTTGGCACAAAAATACAGATTACTTTTTTGCGACCGATTCGGACGGTTCTTGGAAGTCAAAGGTATTGCATTTGACCACTTTTCACTTTTCGGAAATTATTTTAATTTTAAAATAATAAATTGTCAGTAATTTACCGGCCAAATCGTTCAGAAAAAAATGATATTTTGAATTTTAATTTTTTTACCGACCGATTCGGTGGGAAATTCTTTTTATAACCCAGCCCCCAACTCCTTTCTTCTTGTTTCCTTCTCTTTCTCTTCTGTTACCCCTTTCACTCACTTCGCCCACCTATGAATCGCCGGTCGCTGTCACTCAACGTGACTCAAATTTCCGGCGATATACCTCTATAGCACTTTCTCCCTCCCTCTCTCCCTCATCCCTATCGCAGCCAAATTCAATTCTAACCTTTTTTTCTTTTTTTCTTTTTTAGGTAGCGTGCACCTCCTTCTCCGACAGCGTGCATCTTCTCCTGCGAGGTAAGTTCTTCCTTCATCATTTCTACGGCCTTGAATGTTAATATATTTATTCTTTTTGTTTGTATTGCAATTTAAATTAGTATTTTTTTAGGTTAAATATGGATAAGATTAGAATTGAAATTAGGGTTGAAATGAAAGAATAATTTATTCTTTAACCTTGAATAACTATTGTTTAGATCCTTGAGTAATATGAAAATTAAGCTTCTTTCGAATAAAACATTTTCCACTTAGTAGAAAATTACTAAACTTGTTATTGTTGTTGTGTTGAATAAAAAATTAAAAGTGAATGAAAGTTGAGATTTGTTTTTCAATAGGAGTAATCTTCATTTTGTATTGTAAATTTATATATATTATAGAATTAGAAATAAAACTATTCAATTTTGACTTTATTTTCACATTGTAATGTATATTTGTTATTGAATTAGTATTAAGTAGTGTGTTTGAATAATTATAGCTTTAATTTTGATTCATCTTGCAAAGAGTTCCAATTGTATTTTATATTATTTATGTGATGTAGCTAGTATAATTTTAACAATAGTGAAGTAAACCTATAAAATGATTGTAAGATTAAAGTTTATTAAATATAATAAATTCATTGGTTTGATATGGTTTTAAGTTTAAGGTTTCTTGAGTATAATGTTTAATGCTTGTTGTTGCTTTTTAGTTTACTAATGCATATGGATAAATGCAAAAACCCTTTTAGATTACTAAATAAGATGGATAAATATCAAATTACACTAAAATATATAATTAAACTATCTAGATAAGTACCCTTTGAAGAGTAAAATTTATTAATTAGTGTAAATAACATAAAAATTTCAACTTCTAATTTTTTCTGTGTAGATTTTATTTGGGCATCGTAGATGGATGCATAATAGGAACCATCCGAATTGTTCGGGGTTGCGGGATAAATTTATAGAAGAGGTTGCTGCTTTTATTGCTTAGGCAAAGACACTTGATGATTTCCTTATTGAAGGGACGATTAAGTTCCCTTGTGTGAAATGCAAGTGTGTTAAATTATTGGGACTGGATATTGTTACTGTTCAGCTATATAAGAAGGGTTTTATGGAAAATTAGTATGTGTGGACTGTTCACGGGGAGAGTCATACTAGTGTAGATGATGTTGATTTTCAGAATTCCTTTGGTGGTGAAGAAGATAGTCCCATAGCGGACAATAATGTTAAAAATTCTAGATTTAATGAAATGATGAGGGGCGCTTTTGAGATGTCAAAAGGGGCTCAATCCGAACCAAATGAGGAGGTTAAGAGCTTCTTCAAATAATTAGAGGAAGCTAGTTGTCCGCTTTATGAAGGTTCAGTTCATTCCAAGTTGTCTGTTGTTGTTAGATTACTAAGTATTAAATCGTATAATTATATTACTCAAACTGTGATGACTTGAAAGATCATTTATAGTTTTAACCCTCAACTCTGTATTTCGAAACCCCGAATAGCTCTGTTTAGCCTTCCTCAATTTGTGTGCGCAGTCCGTGTCTTTTTTCAAAAGATTTTTATGTGAAAAATTGATAATTAAAAAAAATGTGAAATCGTGCTTTAAAACTCATTTGAGTTGACTTCAGTCAACGTTTTGAACAAACAGACCCGGATCAGTATTTTGACGATCTCGGTAAGTCTATATTGTGATTTGGTTTCATGGGCGTATGCCCAGAATCGAATTCGGAAGTCCCTACCTTGATTTATCAAATTTGTTGAAAACTAGAAGTTTGAATGTTTAAAGAAGTTTTCGAGTTTGACCGTAGTTTGACTTGTTGTTACCGGGTCCGGATTCTGGTTTTGGAACTTGGTATAAGTTCATTAGAGTATATATGACTTGTTTGCAAAATTTGGTGCAAAGCGGGGTTGATTTGATGTGATTCAGATGTTCGGTTGAAAAGTTGCATGTTCTTAAGCTTCGTTGAAAATTTCATTCGTTTTGGCGTCCGATTCATAGTTCTAGGTATTATTTTGGTGTTTTGATCGCGCAAACGAGTTCGTATGATATTTTTGGACTTGTGTGCATGTTTGGTTTAGAGCCTTGAGGGCTCGGGTGAGTTTCAGATAGGCTTCGGAGTAGTTTTGAACTTAAGGAAATTGTTGGTTCTGGTGCATGTCTCTGACCTCGCAATTGTAAGGTCAGTGTTCACAATTGCGAACGTTCATGTCTTCTGTCAGGTTCGCATTTGCGAACAAGTAGTTCACATTTGCGAAGTAGTACT